GGGCTCGGTAACTACACGCTGGGTGAGTGGTTGAACAATGGGCAGTGAGTTGTGTTTTCAAGTTGGCACCACATTTGGGCTGCTTTGCCTTGTGAGCCAGCTAAGTTAAAGAGAGAAAGCTGCTGGACAAGGTCACAGGGAGGCCACAGGTCCTGTGACCTGGATTGCAATTACAACAGCTCAAATCTAAGGCAACATCACTTCATGGGAGAAGGAGGGGCCAACTCTCAAGAATCTAGGCTGAGTGGCGGGTTGGGCTGGGGCCAGGTGGGGGTCAGAGAGCTGAGAGTCAGGAGAGACCTCCCTTCCTGGACACCTGACAATGAGGAAGTGATGTTCCTGGCCTCACAGCAGGGCTGTGTTGCAAGAGCTGCACTCCCCATAACTGCCCATGCATTCACACACACAGCCACAAAGCATTTATTGAGCACCTACTATGTGCAGGCACTGCTGTAGGCACTAGAGATGCAGCGCTGAATAAGAAAGCCCAGATCTGTCCCTCATGGAGCTTTTTTTCCAGAGGGAAGACAGATGATGAACAAAGAAAAAAGGCAAGACAATTGCAGATCTCAGTAAGTGAGGATGATGAGAATGATCGGGGTTGGGGGGGGAAGAGTGGTCTGGGGAGGCCTCCAGGTGGGGTGATGCTGGCTCGAGGGGAGGACACACAGGATCCAGCTACAGGAGAGAGGAGCATACCTAGGCAGGGAACCGCAGGCAACAAGGGGCAGGAATTGGAGTAGGAGAGCAGGGGGAGGGGGAACTGGCAGCCCTCACCTTCCAGGCAAGTTTGTGCACATAATTCCACTCGCCCTTCTTTGACAAAGATGAGTTTGAACGTCTTGTTTCCTCCCCAGATCTGCTAATGGCACAAGGAGAGCCTGGCATTGCTTCCCACTCACTAACGAAGCCTCACCAAGCTTTCTTGCCCAGACGCACTGAAACAAACCGAGACCCAGAAGTGGCAGACACATCCGATGCCATCATAGCCTGTCACACATAAACCAACCCTGAAAATGTTAAAGAGTTTTCTTTTTTATTCTTATTCTTTCCCTTGACCTTCCTTGAGTGAGTCTGGAACCATTCCACTCAGAGATGAAAGAGGACCAAAGGATATTTGCTTTTTAACTGAGGCTGAATCTAAAATGTTAGAACATTTCAGCACATTTAAATGTTCTTCAGACATAAATATTGGACCATTCACTCTTCAGTAACATGATAAAGACACTTGTTTGAAAACCCCCTTCAGAAAACCAAAGTGAGCACACAGCTGTCTTTACAAAATGAAGTATGCATTGTGGAGAAAATACTGTGGAAAGTAGCTGTAAAATAGAATCAAATTTCAGAAATTCTCAGAAAATGATGGAAAGCAAATGCCAATGCTTATTTGACTCAGTAATCCTATTTCAATGCCTGGACATTTACCCCAGTGAAAAAGAAATATTATGGGGGGTGAAAAAGCCTGGATACAAAGATTTCCACATCACCACTAATGGCATGTACACACACACACACACACACACACACACACACACACACACACACACACACGAAGCAAACACAATTTAACAACAAACAGGACTGAATCGCTAAAGTACACACAGA